CTTCCCATTGTTCTGTGTATCTGAGAGGTCCCCATTCCCCCAATTCAGAGTTAATATGTTGGTATAGTAGTGTTATAAGTTTGGTCTGGGTTGACTCCTCATAGCACAGTTTCTCAAAGAAAGGCAATGTTTGTTTTCCTGCTTTTTGGACCTCTGTTGTATGGGCGAAGTCCCTGATTTGGAGGTAGTGGAAGTAGTCCCTTGACTGTAGTGGGGCCTGGGTTTTTAGGTGGTCGTATGTGACTATGTCATTCTGGATGTATAAATGTATATATCTTTGCAGGTTTTGTGTATTTTCTATCCGCATATTCAACCATAATACCACGAACTATAAAAAATATTAATGTTTTTACTTATTGCTTAATTATAATATATTAATTTAAAAATTAATATTCATATTTAAGTCACGGCCACAACATTTGGTGACAAAGATGGGATTATGCTTTACTATTGGGGGAAAAATTTAAGTTATGCATTTTGCTTAATTCATTTAGTAAACTGTCTATCTGTATAGAAATGAACAAATTGATGATGATTTGGTTTTATTGGAATAAATGCCGATAGCATATAGGTTTAGAGATAGGAATTCAATATTTGTTGTAGAAGATAGTGATTAATTATTGTGTTGCTTTTGAAGTTTTTACCAATCTTTAGTTATTTTTATAGAAAAAAACTATTTTACTTTTTGTCTGACCATGCAGGATTCAATTCACCATTGACCACATGGTGTGAATGGGTTGAGACCCGGGTTCATTGTTTGTTTACATTTGCATATAAAAATACTTTTCACTAAACCTGTTGGCCAGGTTTTTATTGCTGGGTATTGGGACCGGTTTGTTTGTGTAGTAATTTAAATTGGTTTGACAATTCAGTATTTGCTTAGTTGAAAAGATATTTTGACTAAACTGATTAAATTTGTAGCTAAACTGTTTTTGTTTTTGTTATATTTTTTATTATTATTATTATGTTATTATTTATATAGCGCCATCAAATTCCACAGCGCTTTACAATGGGTGAACGAACAAACATGTAGTTGTAACCAGACAAGTTAGACACACAGGAACAGAGGGGTTGAGGGCCCTGCTCAATGAACTTACATGCTAGAGGGAGTGAGGTAAAGTTACACAAAAAGGTAAGGATAGTAATAGACTAGTGACAGTTGCAAAAGAGAAATCAGTCGAAAGCTATTAACAGTTTAATTGATACGCTTTTATGAAGAAGTGGGTTTTTAATGATTTTTGAAGGGGTGGAGACTGGGTGAGCATCTAATGAAGGAGGGAAGTGAGTTCCACAGGAACGGTGCAGCCCTCGAAAAGTCTTGAAGGCGAGCATCAGAGGTGGGAGTACTGACAGAAGATAGAAGTAAGTCTTCAGCAGATCGTAAGGGCCTAGACGGGACATACTTGTGTATTAGGGTGGATAGATAGGTGGGAGCAGCATTAAGTAGATATTTGAAAGCAAGAACCAGAATTTTAAATTGAGTCCTATATCTTACAGGAAGCCAATGTAGGGGTGAGGCGTGGGAGGTGCGGGCGGACAGGAAGATGAGCCACGCCACGGCATTCATTGTGGACTGTAATGGCGCAAGTTGGGAGCATGTAAGACCACTGAGAAGCGGATTAAAGAAGTCAAGGCGAGAAACGCCAGGACAGTATCTGGCTACTTAACGCCAGGACAGCATCTGGCGTTAAGTAGGGTTGGATGCGCGCAATGTTTTTGAGATAGAAACAACAGGATTTGGCGATAGACTAAACATAAGGCTTGAAGGAGAGGTCGGAATCAAAGAGAACACCTAGGCAGCAAGCCTGCGTGGTGGAGCTGATGGTAGCACCATTGACTTGGAGGGAGACAGACACAGGAGTAACAACACTTGAGGGAGGAAAGACCAGAATTTCAGTTTTCATCAAGTTTAGTTTAAGGAAGTGGGTAGCCATCCAGTTAGAAATAGCAGATTCGTGTGCCCCCAGCCCATTCGTGTGCCCCCAATTACAACCTTGACTCTGTGCCAAATTGCAAGCATTCTAAGTGGTTCCATGAGCGGCCGTCGATTCGTATGTACGAACACGTGGCGGCGGCCATCTTGTTTTGTCGAATGCGCCCAGCGGTGTTTGGTCGTCGGGTGTCTGGAACTATTTTCGGACACTCAAACTCCCGAACACAGCTGAGACTTCCAGGACCACATAGCTTCACCCAGATGCATACGAACGAGGCAGGGTTCGGTAAAAGTATTACACGAACACAGCGGCACACGACCAGCTAACTCACAAATCAATAAAAGCCTGGCTGTTCAGTATTTTTATTATATGAAAGGAGACCGGCCGCACCAGCTAAATACATGGAACTATTTTGGGCAGGAGCCTCGTGTGCAGCCGGGCAGAGAAGGGGCATTCGGCTATCTCCCAAACCCATGAACGGATTTGTGTGATTTTTGAATATGTGTGTCCCCCAATTATGCTGGTTCCAAATATGTAACTTTTATTAAAACTGACCCTATAGTTTTGATGTTACAGAAATGGGACAAAAAGTATATTTTTAGCTGATACACCAATTAACTCAATTATCTCCCAAGCAGAGGGGAGGAATGTACAGTAATGAATGGGTGTGTTTAAACTGTATAACTGTAAATGATTGGCTGTTATGTTTGTGTCCTCAGTGTCCAACAAGGTCCACATGGTTGGTAACTTTGTGGGAAAATGTGTATAAATGAAATGCTTGTGTGGTCATTAAAACAGTTCTGCTTAACCCTCAATATGTAGCCTTGTCTCATTATTGAAGGGTACCTGCTTCTAGCTTACTCACTAGAAGCAGGTACCCTCCCAATATCCCATCCAGCGGATGGGATATTGGGAAGACTCTGCAGCACAGCCTCTCACCGGGACATTTCCAACGGCTTACACCCCTCCAACAACCTTTTCGGCTACTGCTGGGTGAGAATTTGTCCTCGTTGGGGGCAGGTAGTCTTACCTGTATGAGAAAATTAACTACATAGTAAACGATGTATTGTTTTGTAAATGTAATTGCCTCAACTAATCAAATTGTGGAGTGTTTTTTTAGCTTTAATATCCAGGACTAAGGAATTACAGGACATATGATGGAATTTCAGGAACTGGTAACTATTTTTTTTTTTTTTTAATGGTAAAATAATTCCTTTTTGTTTTATTTGGTCTGGTTAGAATATTTTAACAAGTTAGCATTTTTTTAACAAAATAAGCGTAGGGGCTCAGATTGAGATTTATATTATTTTAGAAGCCATCTTAATCTCCGGAGAAGGGGGAGCATACCCAAAAGTTGTTGTGCAGTTCTATCCTGTATTATTATTATTATTTGAACTCTTGTATTACTTATAAGTAGCCTTTTGTAACTTATTAGTAATAGTTTATATATTGTTCTGGGAAAGGCATATGCTAAATCTCTGAGAGACCAGGAAATATATAAAATAAGGGCATATTGCACTAGGGGTAGGGTAGGCCTATCACATGACCATAGGGACCCTTGGTGACTAGTTTTAGTTGTATTTTACCCTTGGAAGGGAATAATAGAAATTTGTGAGAGACCAGGCAATATACAATAAGTGATACGTGAGTGTACTGGTTGTTTTGCAGACATATTGGAGCATAACCTTTAATCGAGCCAGAAAGAGGTTGCTGTATGTTTTCTCCTCTATATTTTTTTCTAGGGGCAGTCACCCACATGTGGAAAGCCACTGCCACCACAGGGTAGATAGTTGCGCAGGCCCTTAGCCGCGAGGTGCAGACATGTCCGAGGAAAGGCTAAAAATTAATAGGGAGTTAATCATAGCTGTCAGAATTGTTGAACCGTGAGACATATTGACCTATAGTCTTTAATTAGAGGTAGAAGAGGTGTTGTGGTTCACTCCTCTATAACTTACCCAAGGGGTGGAGAGATATTAAACACTGTAAACGTGGCTAGAAATTTGTTTTGTACTCCTGGATTGCAAAGAAGTTGCATAAAGCAGCTGTAAGCTAATAGTTTTTTGAGAGCCTTGTAGAAAATTAGGAAGTTACCTTGCTGATAAAATGAAAAGTTGAAGGAATATATATCATCCTGATGAAAGTTCCTTAGAGAATTGAAATGTTGATCTTCTGTGGCAGATGCCTGAATAAAGCTAAATTTTTTCACAATATTTTCGAAGTCCTTGGAGTGCTATCATTACTTTGTTTCTATTATTTGGCTGTTAAGCACCGGGCTTTTTACTATTAATCCAGGAGTGGAAGCAATTGGAACTTTATATATATATATATATATATATATATATATATATATAAGACTTGCTTTTTTGCTTTTCCCACAGAAATCACAAATCTGCAGTGATATTACTACCACAAAGGATTCTGGGTGGGCATATGCAAATTAGTTAAACAAAGAATCAAATTTTTACCTAATTCCATTTTAAACATGGATTCCTTTGAGTCTGTGTTTGCTGTATACAGCAGCTTTGAAACACAACTTAAGAAAAGATGCGAAGCCAGTAAACCACTCATGGACAGCTGTTTCATTGTTAATGCAAAGGTTGGTTACTGGTTTGCTTATTGGGGCTTAGTAGTGCTTGGGAAGCAAAAACCCAAAAAGTTATGGTGGGGAAAAAATTGTGATTGAAAACCCCTTCCACCTGAAAATCTGCACATTGATAGTTTAGCAAAACTGTCCATGAGTGGTTTACTGGCTTTGCATCTTTTCCTAAGTTGTGTTTCAAAGCTGTTGTATACAGCAAACAAAGACTCAAACGAATCCATGTTTAAAATGGAATGAGGCAAAAATATGTTTCTTTGTTAAACTTATTTGCATATGCCTACCCAGAATCCTTTGCAGTAGTAACATCACTGCAGATTTGTGATTTCTGTGGGAAAAGCAAGTCCTATGGCTTGACTGGTGTGCAGAACATTGTATTAACTATCCACAGACTTCAGGTGGAAGGCTTTTCCTTCACAATTTTTTCCCCACCATAACTTTTTAGTTTTTTGCTATAGATATATATGTTAATGTATATATGTGTGTGCGTGTGCGCGTGTGTATATATATATATATATATATATACACATACATACACACACACACACACACACACACACACATATATACATTAACATATATATATATATATATACATGAACATATATATATATATATATATATATGTAAAGACAGAGCCTGGTGTTGTGGGAAGGGCTAGTGCTGATATAAATACTCACCATCGGTACTAGATTCCTCCTAGGCATCGTTCCATTCTGAGTGTGACGTCACTTCAGGGTAAACAGACAGTGGAGAGACATGAAGTCCAGTAAGAATGCCTAGCTATCCGACGGAGTTTGCCTGCAGCAGTACAGTGTAGTTTTCCCCTTCCCACCTGGCCACAAACGCTTTGATACCCGAATGCAGGGTCATGGCGAGGAAGATTCCCCTTGTTATACTTGCCGCATACCGGTGTTTTCATTTCAAGCAAACCGCTCACTTAGGTTAACCCTTTCACCCAAGGTACACAAGAAATCTTCCTAGGCAAAACCCCTTCTATACTTCTTGCATAACGGCGTTTTCATGTCCTATGCAAATCTCTCACTTACGTTAATCCCTTCACCCACGGTGCACGCAGGGAGTCTACCTATGCAAACTCCCTTTCGATACCTCTTGCTGGGAACATATTGCCTCATTGTGGCGAGATACATGTCGTTGATACTATGTTACTGGTTGGGTAGGTTCCGATGGAAGCTTTCTTTAAGTCAGAAGGAGGGTGGTAGAGGCATGTTAAACACTATAGCTCCTGCAAATTATCTCATCTCCCTGTTAACCCTTTTTTTCCCTTTCTTTTGCTAGGCTCTTGGTTGCAGCGCATTAATTTAGCCAGTCACCAGTCCAAGTATATTTTGTCTACTTATTAAAGTGGTATGTGTACGATAACAATGCGTTTATCACAACTGGCACGCACTCACATTACAACATTTAAAAGCCGCTGATATAGATGAAGAGTTTGACATTAAATGGTTATTATATATTGGTGATGGTTACATACTCCCCTTACTACCAAGCATCCTCACGGTCAATAGATTCACCCCTAGATATAGTATTATTTATTAATAGTCAATCCTCTAGCAATAACGAGGGGCCACACATACCTTATATTGTTAAAGTATAAGTATACAAATTACTGTATAAAAAAGTGCACTATAAAACCAACCGGTATACAGAGCAAAGTGTGTAGCGCTAGATAGAATCAGCACTTACCCCTAAGGGTTAACAACGTTATATAATGAGTTCCCTACAAGGGGATGAAACAAACAATATATAGTGTAGTATATTAGAAAGATAATAATGTGAATATTCCCAATAATGGATCCACTCACATGGTACAGAGCCACTTGAGGACCGGCTCTGATCTCTTCCACTTATGTGTACTTAAAGGTGACACACACCTATAGCATCCATATCAGATGTAAACCTCAAACAGAAAAAAGGGGAGAAGCTTCTTTGGTGCAGAAATCCCAAACAGAGTGATTGTAAATGAAATAAAATAAGGCTTCTCACCTTGTCCAGAGCCTTGAACCAGGCTCTGAGTAGAAATAACAGATGTGGCAATATAGGGTGTCACTACCCTTCTTTATAGCAGCATGGACAATTCTTGAAGATTAAAAAATTAACAAATATTTATTATAAATAAAAATATATAAAATAACAGACCAAATATAAAGTCTTGTTGTCCGAGACGCGTTTCGCTGATCCTCAGCTTTCTCAATCGGTGCCGTCCATGCCGCCGGTCTTCTTTTTTATTTACTTCCTGGATAGGAGGAGTTGGGGCTGCGTCATCCGTGATACTGCCAACCACGGACGACGTCAGGCGCATGCGTAGTACTGCGTGTTCTAACCTTTCGTGACGTCATCGCGCACGACGTCACTTCCGGTTCCACGAGATATCGTCCTCATAGCTGTTTCCCATAGTCCATACGTATTCTCTTGACTTTACCTCGTTTTATTTCCGCCATTACAGTTCAGGGCAAGGTGTGGGCACAGAAGAATGAAAAGCCTCTATTCTTATTAGGCTGTATTCCACACCAATTTACCCTATAAAGCCATACTCGAAAAGGAGTATACACATAAAATAAAAAAATAAAAAAAAAAGAAAATATATAAAAAGATCAAAATTCCATCAGTCTTTCTAAAAAGCACATCAAATATAAAAAACATCAATTGTAAAAAATACAATATAGCTCAATCATATGTCTTAATGACGATATATAGTATCGATAATATCTTAAAATTGCAGGAAAAAATATATAATATAGCATTAAAAAATATATATATAAAAAGTCTAATCCAAATAAAATCTAAATTTTATAAATAATAGCTATTATAAAAAAATGACATAGCTCAAAGTCGTCATTAAGTCCATATGGTTGCATAGTGTTTAAATTAAAAATCCATTGCATCTCTGTTTGCCCTATATGTTTCAACAGATCTCCACCTCTCCAATTCACAACAATTTTTTGAATTCCTATAAAATTCATTAGATGGGGATCACAATTATGTTTTTCTTTAAAATGCAGTGAAACGCTATGCTTTTCAAACCCTTTTTTGATGTTTCGTACGTGTTCTTGTATCCTGGTGTTTAATGTCCTAATGGTTCTGCCTATATAGGCTAGTCCACAGGGGCAAGTAATCATATAGATAACTTTATTTGAATGACAAGTGATCATTTGTTTGATCTTAAATTGTTTAACTACATTCCCTGGAGGGTTAAATTCTTTTATGTGGCATTTTATACTGTTGGTGCCTTTACAGGCTCCACATGTGCCGCAACCGTAAAATCCATATGATTGGTTAAGGAAATGTTTTGTTTGCTGTTTAGGTGGTATATGATTATGTGTCAAACTGCTCTTTAGATTGCGTACTCCCCTATACGTAATGGTGGGTTTTTCCGGAAGAATAGAGTTAAGCATAGGGTCACCCATTAGGATAGACCAATGTGTTTGTATGATTTTTTTCAAACGTCTATTATTGCTGTTGAAATCGCAAATAAAATTCAAATTCTGAAATTCTGGATCTATTTTTTTATCTTTATATTTAATTAATTCATTCCTATCAATACCATCAACCTCTATATATGCTTTCTCTAGAAGTTCCTTCTTATATCCTTTTTCACTAAAATCATTGATAATTCTAACGGATTGTTCCCTAAATTTATCTTCTTCAGTACAATTCCGTTTAATCCGTAAAAGTTGTGCCTTAGGTGCATTTAGCAGCCAAGGTGAGAAGTGGCAGCTATTTTCACATATATAGCTATTTACGTCTACTTTCTTAAAAAAAGTGCAAGTTTTCAGTATGCTTCCCTCTATATATATATTAAGGTCCAGGAACTCAACCGAAGTTTTACTGAAATTACAGGTGAGGCGAATACCCCAATCATTAGTATTTAAATGGTTTAAAAAACAATTTAAGGAATCCTCGTCTCCTCTCCAAATAAAAAATATATCATCAATGTAACGGCGATAGGTAACGAGGCCCGCAGCCCACCTGTCATCGTCATGGATAAACTCTTGCTCCCAGAGTGCCATGAACAGATTTGCGTAACTGGGCGCGAACCTCGTTCCCATCGCCGTTCCACATGTTTGGAGATAAAACTGCTCCTCAAACCAAAAATAGTTGTTTGTGAGGATCCATTTTATACCTTCAATTATAAAATTGATTTGTTTATCAGAGAATTTCTGTGATTTTTCTAAAAAGAATTTGGTGGCTCTGCAACCCATGTCATGGGAAATTATCGTATATAGAGAACTGACATCGGCTGTCACGAGATAATAATTATCATCCCATGTAATTTTTACGGTTGCGGCACATGTGGAGCCTGTAAAGGCACCAACAGTATAAAATGCCACATAAAAGAATTTAACCCTCCAGGGAATGTAGTTAAACAATTTAAGATCAAACAAATGATCACTTGTCATTCAAATAAAGTTATCTATATGATTACTTGCCCCTGTGGACTAGCCTATATAGGCAGAACCATTAGGACATTAAACACCAGGATACAAGAACACGTACGAAACATCAAAAAAGGGTTTGAAAAGCATAGCGTTTCACTGCATTTTAAAGAAAAACATAATTGTGATCCCCATCTAATGAATTTTATAGGAATTCAAAAAATTGTTGTGAATTGGAGAGGTGGAGATCTGTTGAAACATATAGGGCAAACAGAGATGCAATGGATTTTTAATTTAAACACTATGCAACCATATGGACTTAATGACGACTTTGAGCTATGTCATTTTTTATAATAGCTATTATTTATAAAAGTTAGATTTTATTTGGATTAGACTTTTTATATATATATTTTTTAATGCTATATTATATATTTTTTCCTGCAATTTTAAGATATTATCGATACTATATATCGTCATTAAGACATATGATTGAGCTATATTGTATTTTTTACAATTGATGTTTTTTATATTTGATGTGCTTTTTAGAAAGACTGATGGAATTTTGATCTTTTTATATATTTTCTTTTTTTTTTATTTTTTTATTTTATGTGTATACTCCTTTTCGAGTATGGCTTTATAGGGTAAATTGGTGTGGAATACAGCCTAATAAGAATAGAGGCTTTTCATTCTTCTGTGCCCACACCTTGCCCTGAACTGTAATGGCGGAAATAAAACGAGGTAAAGTCAAGAGAATACGTATGGACTATGGGAAACAGCTATGAGGACGATATCTCGTGGAACCGGAAGTGACGTCGTGCGCGATGACGTCACGAAAGGTTAGAACACGCAGTACTACGCATGCGCCTGACGTCGTCCGTGGTTGGCAGTATCACGGATGACGCAGCCCCAACTCCTCCTATCCAGGAAGTAAATAAAAAAGAAGACCGGCGGCATGGACGGCACCGATTGAGAAAGCTGAGGATCAGCGAAACGCGTCTCGGACAACAAGACTTTATATTTGGTCTGTTATTTTATATATTTTTATTTATAATAAATATTTGTTAATTTTTTAATCTTCAAGAATTGTCCATGCTGCTATAAAGAAGGGTAGTGACACCCTATATTGCCACATCTGTTATTTCTACTCAGAGCCTGGTTCAAGGCT